GAAAAAATATATTTTTTGTTTGTTACGTCCGAGAAATTTATATAAATATAAAATTTATTTGATTTATCGCATACTCTACAATTTTACACAAAAACTCAATTTGACACTTTAAATAAATTGAAATAAATAAGATTTGCATTAGTTTTAATATTTTTATGCAAAATTGGTCAAAACATATGACATTGAAATATGTTTAGTAAAAATTTAATTTTATTACATTTATGCATAATACATATCATTTTGTACGTTTAGAAATATTAGAATACACGTCTAAATATTAAGATCGATTAGAAAATATATTTAAATATTTAATTTCACGCCTAGCGTGGATCAAAATCTAGTAATTAATTAATTACTTGTTGACTATACATCCAATTAGGTTCACCATAAAACAGATATTGACACATTTTAGATGTCCATAAAGTAGTGGTCCTCGCTGGTTAACCCGTTGCAGACAACAAAGTCAGCGGGTTTAGCAGAAAGAGTGGATGCAATATCCTGGAAATACTAAAATTTTCTCAAAGAGAAAGAAAAAGAATGAATATTTATTTCTAAGAAAACTAAAGAGACCGTTTTAAGTGAAGAAAGAAAATCTCACAAAACAACGTTTATTACAGTAAATCAAACAAAAACTTTTGAAATAAACACAAAGCAGTGAAACACACACACATATTAACTCTAAAATTTCAAACCGAACCATGAAATTTCGCCTCGATGATCTTATCAATTTTGTTCTCCATTTCAAGAGTTAGATGATTCTTCCAATCACCAATTTCCCCTTTCCGGAAGAAACTATAGTAATGCACATTGTAAGACGTTTTTCCAGTTTTGTTAACCTCCAAATCACTCAGATTACTTAGAGAGCACAAATCCAAGATCTTGTCCAAAGATCCACTATTTTCTTCTTCTTCTTCACTAAAGGGACAACCCAAAAACTCTGCAAGTTTCTTAAGTTGTCCACGAGGTTCTGTTTTCAACTCCTCAAACCTCATGAAAAGCACATGATTAGGATCTTCCAAGCTTTTTCTCCAATAGCTCAAGACATTTTTCCAAAAGGATCCAAAGAAGTGAACTCCGCTACAAAACGAATCGAACATTGACTCGAAAGTAAGGCTTGTAGTTGTCTCCACTTCTTTACCTAGATTATTGCACCAAAAATACCAATGTGACACCAACACGTCCTTCAAATTCATGCACAAGTACACAATCTTACAAGGAGAGTCATTGAGAGGTACTTGAAGTGTATGCAACGGCATGTGAGTAGAGAACACCCTCGGAGACGATGAGAGGTTGGACAAATCTGGGTTTGAACTTAGGGAATACATATTGATTTCCAAGAATGGTACTAAGCTATGAGGATTATTAGATAGCAGAGGATGAAGATCAGAAGAAGATCGTGTTTTCGATCTTTCGTGGAGGGCGATTGCCAGAGTTTTGAGCCAAGTGGTACCGGATTTGGGGGAAAGAAGCGAGGATTATATCAGTATCTTGAGGATGAAAGTTTCTCTGAAAATTAAGAACACCTTGAAGAGTGTTGTCGTAATACCAACATCCTTGGTAGTTGTAGAGTGTTCCTATAGACTCTTTGACTGAAGGAAGTGAAGATATCAAAGTGTTGGTCTCTTCGCTTACTAAGTCCTCACTCAAATTTATTGGAAACTTCTCTTAAAATGTGTTTTTTTTGTTTGGGTCAAACAAGAATCGGTGCCTAAAGCGAAGAATCCAAGAAACACAGAACCAACAAAAAAATTCAAAAATATCTCTTTCCACTTGAGTGTTAGCAGGCTATCATACTTTTGGCATTATTTGGTTTAGGCTTGCACGATTATGTGATAAATCATTTTGGTATTTGGATTTTCTCACTTACGAAATACTATACTAGGGAACTCATTTGAAATCCAAATATTAAAAAAGTATATTTCAGATTATATTTATTAACTCATAACCAAAACTAAAATTTCAAGTTTGAGCCATAGTATGAAACAATTTTGTTGTCAACTAATGTCTGTGGGGGTTGAATCTCACAATAAAATTAAGTAACTTTTTAGGGTTTATAAAATTCTATAGAAAGCCACCCAAACGCAAAGATCTCAAGGGAGGTTTTTATTAAACTGTTAGAAAGCTGTTTCAGAATACAAGAGTTTGTCTAATGAATTTTTGATCCCCTTTTGGATGAATACAATGAGCTATATATAGGATTTCTAGGTAAAATGGGCCAGCTAATAAAATGGGCTTGGCCCATTAAGCAATATATCTAATTTAGACCCATTATTCCATTAAATCCATTTTGTTTATGGGTTTAATGTCATTTTGGGCCTAGATTCAGACCGGGCCTTTGTAGACTTGTTTTGATTTCGTCAAGAACTTGTGGAGTTGATCTCGTCGCCATATCGATCTCGTATGGGTGAAATCCGACCCGAACAGTTAACCCCCCAACTTGGCAGTATCGAGTTATGATGATGCCGAGGTAAAAATTGCTGTCTGAGATCGATGTGTTGGACTGCGAAGCTGCCAGGCATGGACGTCCTATCATCGAACTTGGGAAGTTTTCGTTATTCTGCGTTGAGCCGATGCCTGCGTGTTTTCCTGAAATTGTTTTCTTTTTCTTTGTGTTGATGGTCTTTTGTGTTAGTGGGCCTTGAAGCCTTGCTGAATGATTTTTGGAATTTTTCCAAAAACAAGGTGATTTTAGGAAATCCTCCGGGGATAAATAAATCTGCTTCCTAGACATTATTTAATACCAAATCACTTCTCCTCAGCAAAAAATAAAAATTCTCCCCTCCTAGTGCCTC